AGCGGCGGCGCCCAGCCGGGGCCCGGCCCGGCCCGGCCCGGCCCGCCCTTGCGGCCGAGCGGGACGCCTCCGAGCGAGCCCCGCGGCGCCCGGAGGCCAAACTTTCCAGGGGAGGGGCGCGAGGCCGAGGCCGCCGCCGCCGCCCTTCCCGGGGGGCGCGTGCCAAGTAGGCCGGGGAAGAGCGGCGGCGCGGGGCCCGGCGGGGCGCCCTGGCAGAGCCCCTCGCCCTCGGGACGCGGCTCTGCGCGACGGGGGCCCCTCGGCGGCCGGGGGAGAGGGCGGCGGATGGGGCGGCCCCCGGCGCCGCCTCCCCCGCGCATCGCCGGCATTCCTGCCCAGGGGCCCCGCCGCAGCCTCCGCCGCCACTTCCCGACAGGCAGGCAGGCAGGCAGGCCGGCTGCCCGCCCGCCCGCGCGAGCCAAGCGCCGGGGGAATGGAAGGTGACCTCGGCGGGGGCGGCCGGCGGGTGCCACCCACTTGAAACCCTATCGTCGGCCTCTGGTTGCATAAGCGGCGCCGGCGTCGGACTCCGCTCCAGGCCTGCTCCCCCCGCGGAGCAGCGCCGCCGCCGCCGCCTCGTGCTGCACAGGGCGGCGCGGGACAGAGGCGCCCGGCCGGCGCGGGAGCGCAGAGGAAGCGGGGCCGCTCCGGCGCGGGGCGCGCAGGAGGGCGGGGAGGGCGGCGCGGGCCGCCGAAGCCCCCCGGGCTGCTCCTGCCCGGGAAGGGGCCCCGCGCTCGAGGGGCCCGCGCTCGGAGGTGGGCAGCCTCCCGGGGGGAGGGGCGCCCCGGGCTGCCCCCTCGCCGCCGCCGCGCCGCGCCGCGCCGGCTTCCCACCCTCCCGCCGCGCCGCCTACCTCGCTCTGCCTGCCTGCCGCCCCCCGAGCTGCCCTCGCCGGCTCCCGCTGCCTCTGATCAGCTGGCGGCCTCGCCTGCCACCCAATCGCCGCCCCGCCGCCCCGCCCTCTGACTGGCGGTCGCGCCGGCCAATCAGCCGCCCGCCCGCCCCGCCCCGCCGTTCGGCGCCCGCTCCCCGGCTCGGCTGGCGCTGAGTGACAGGGCCGGCCGAGGGCGGGGGGCGGGGCTGGCGCAGGCAGCCGGCGTCTCAATGGAGAGGCACTTGGCTCCACCCGCCCGAATGCATGCGGCTGCTGGGAAACGTAGTCCTGGAGCCCTCCCGGCATGCCCAGCGCCACTGTGAGTTGGCATTTTCTTGGGAGTGAAACCAAGGCGGGGGGAGCCCCCCCCCACACGCAGCAGGAGATTTCCCACCCCAGTCGAGGGGGCAAAAGGAGGCGCGCACTGCTCTTGCTTGTGGTTTCGAGGACCACCGTCGAAGCAACGCGCTTCCCCAGATATGAGCAAGCGGGATGCGCCCGTCATAATCGTTTCCTGCCGTTCGTCGTAGCGCTCCTGGCGCTCAGGATTACACGCGCGATGTGGCGGGGGGCTCACAAAGCCGGGGGGCGCTTCCTGCCCCCGTGGCCCCCGGACGGTCACTTTTGCAATCGCTGCGGCTTTAAGGGTTCAAGCTCCGTGACGCAAGCAAGATTCCGAGAAGTTGCTGCAAACTGCAGGAGCCAATCGGAAGTGGATCTGGGCCTCTGCCATGCGCCAATCGCGGCCGGCCGAGGGGCGTGGCCGGGGAAACTCAGCTGAACCCGGTGACTTGGCAATCCTGGCCCGTCGGACGATGACTGCGCATATTAGTTAAAGGGCCAGGCGCCCAGTCCGGCAGTCAGCGGCGACCGTGGGAGGAAGGGGCTGAGGGGCAGGTTAGTGAGCGCACGAAGACAGCTCGCGGGGAAGGAGAAACGGGAAAGCAAGAGTGCCCCAGGACATGCGCAAAGGGCTCGGAAGGGCTTGACGCAGCAGCTTCAGAAGGCGCGGGCTTTGCAGCCCGTGAAAAGGACGTCGCGCCGCCGCGTCCTCGGGCATATCCCGTCGTCCAGAGCGCAGGAAAGCTGCGCGTGTGAACCGTCTTGCCTGATGTACACGTATTAGACCCCGCGGTATGACCGTGGGCGGCGCCTTCCAGATGGGCATTTCCCATAATTTCCAGCTGGGGAACATGGGAGTGGTAATAAAAAACCTGGCAGCTCCGAGCTTTCCGGTGCGCTTGCCCGGAAAAGTGGAAAGTGCAGTTGGAGGGGGCAGTAACAAGGCTAACGGACTAGCACGGCGGGGGCCCAAGAGCTCGTGCCTTCGCTCCTCCCGCCCCGCCCCTCACACTCCGCCGGGGAAGGGCGGGCGTCTCCGCAAGAGGGCGCGGCGGCCCTTACCGGGGCCCGAGCCCGAGCCCGAGCCCGCGCGGCCGCTGCCACGCTCGCGGCCCGGGCAAGCCGCGGCCCTCGAGGCGCGCCCGCCCGCCCGCCGGCCCAGCCAGCCTCGCACGTGCTGGCTAGAGCGCACCCGGCAGGCCGCGGCTCCTTTAAGAAAGTTTGGCCGCCCTTCGGCCCACTAACAGCTGATTGATGAGAAGCGGCAACAGGGCCCTCTAGGGGCCAATCAGTTGTCTCCACATCCCGCCCACGTGA